AGGTCTTCTCAATAAGCTGCTCGGAGTTGGGATGTGGCTGGATCTACAAGCCTGAGGCAGCTCCAGGCCTCCTCAAGTCTCATGAGTTATGTATGAGTTTCCGATGGGTGCTGTAACAAGTTACCTGAAACTCTGTGGCTTAAAACAACACACACTTACTATCTTACAGTTCTGGAAGTCATAAATCTGACATGAGTTTCACTGGGCTAAAATCAAGGTATCGAATCTGTTTCTTTGTCTTTTATTCCAGCTCATAGAGACTGTCACAGTCCTTGGCTCATGGCTCTCTATCAACCTATTTCCATTGCCATATCTCTAACTCCAGCTCTTCTGCCTCCCTCCTATAAGTACCCTTGTGATTTCATTGGGCCCACCTGGATAATCCTGGAGGATCCTTATCTCAGGATCTTTAATTCAGTCACGTCTGTAAAGACCCTTTGGTCATGTAAGGTAACATATTGCCAGGTTTCAGAGATTAGGATGTAGATATTTTTGGGAGTCATTATTTTGTCTATCACAATAGCTAACAGAGGACCCTGGGGAGCCCAGGAGAGGAGTCATGGCATAGAGGTGATCAGCAGATATGGGCATGATAAAAGGCTGCCAAGAAAGGGACTTCGAGGTGGAGAGGACATGGCTCAGGCAATGGGTTGGCACCCTCTATAAAGAAAATGGAACCAATGAGCTAACCATGTGAGCAGTCTCCTTCCCAGGCAGCAGAAGGTCCAGTCACTGCACAGTCCTGAGCCCAGAGGACTAAGTGTCCTGTATGGGTCTGAGACCCTCCTCTGCCAACACCATGAAGCCATGGAAGCCACCTGCCCCCAAATGTCTGGAAGCTCATGGAGATGGAAAGAGGAGGGAGAGGGACTCTGACAGATGTGAGGGCTTGTCATGTCAGGGGCCCTTATTTATGTATTGTAGAGAAATAAAGAAGTGAGAGTCACTGTATCGGTGACTCTCCACATCCATTATTCATTTAGAACCATCCTGCAAGTTGGCATCTTTAAAAAAGCAGGTGTTCTGCCTAAAGGAGAGAAAAAAGAGATTGTGGACAGTCTTCTCCTCTGTTTAGGACACAGGTTCCTAGAGGAAAGCAGTCTCCCTGAAGGCTAGTGTGCAGGGCAGGCCAGTGAGCAGGGTGGTGTCACTGCATTGGAGGAAACATGGCAACGTTATCCAAGAGTTAGTCTTTAACAGCAGAATTAGAGTGCTGACAATGCCCAATTATTTTGCTCATTAAGATGACTGGTCTGGACTGGACTGACCATTTTCCAATTAACTCCTTGGCACTTCACTTGGCTATAATAATGATTGAACTAACCCATTTGACTCCCGGTGTGGCTGAAAGAGCAGATGCGAGTAAACACTGCATCATCCTAACACTCTTTCCTCACCAAGAATAAAGGATTTATTCACTTGCAGCCTTTTCCAGGAGCTTTCAAATCACAGGCAAGTAGAATGGACTTGATGGCCCAAGACAAGTGTGAGCATGTGGCTCAAATCCTAGCTGTCATTTGTTCCTGAGGGAACTGAGCCTGTGACTTACTCTCTTATTTCCCTAAGGGGAAGGAAGACCACCATCAACACCAGAGCCCTAGGTCTAGGGGACTCTGCCCTACTTGTACCTGCCTCTTCCAACTGGGTGTGGTGAGGGGATGGTGGGGACTGACATGCCCCACCCCTAGCGTCACCACTGGAAAGCCAGCATTCCTTATTGGGGGGTGGGACGGGGGCTAGGGGAACAGGAGGTATTTACAAAGCACAAGTGGGCCTCCTTAAGAAGATCCAAACTTCTCATATAGACCTGTTAGGGCGTAGTTTTCCCTGTGTCAAAATAACAGTGGTTTTATTTTATCTGTTTTTTATCAGTTGTCTCAAATTTGTGACCAGAGTATTAAGGTATACTGTAGACATTTGTTTGGTCTGATGATATATGTTTTTAAATGAGAAAAATATTAAAAATTGAGAAATATCACATAAAAATCTGATTTCCAATTTCTGAAGAACTGGAGGTGCAGCACCAGGCCTGGATTCTTGTGTGGCTGGAGCCCTGTGGTGACTTCATCCTCAGTGGGGACCAACCTTCACCCAGTGAGTCCTCTTCACTCCGTTTGGCTGCTTCTCCCTGCCCGTAATTACTATAGTCTGCACTCTCGCAGGAGGATGTTCTGCTGGTCCATAACCTGACTGGGGCTGGGTTGTGTGCTCCCCAGGGCAGGGGCTTGTCTTCTTCCCTCTCCCTGGTGCCTGTTACAAATCTTGGCAAGAAGAAGGTAATGGCCACCTGAATGAACCCCACTGCAATTTTTCATAGATGTATATTTTTTTCCTCATATGAGCTGGGAGCACCTGCCTCGTGCTGGTCACTTGAAGCTGTTACTCAAGCTGTGCATCCCAATAACTGAAACACACTGTAAAACTCCAGCAGGTTTCCCTCTAAGCACCAGCAAGTCCAAAGGGAAGATCATTAGAATTCGCAACACTGAGTCAACCGTATCCAAATAATATTAAAGCTGGGAGGGACTGCAAATTAATAAACCTTTTCTGCGTGAGCCGGCAGTTGGGCATTCTCCTCTGCTCTCGTCTGGGTTTGTACATGATTAACAGCCGGCTCCAGGGATTTGCATTAGCAGATCATAAGTAAAAATCCCATTAAAATGACATTCTCCTCATCATTAGGATCCCTTTAGTGAGGTGCACTGTATTGTCAGGGGCATTTCCAGGAGCTGCCTGCTGATGGATTGACCTGGCAGTCCACCCACCCTGGCGAAGGCTCTCTGAGGTGTGGGGCTAAGGGGCTGGGTGCTGGAAGCATGCAGCTTCTCTGTACCAACTGCCTCACTCCGTGGGCAACTCCTGAAGAGCTATGTGGAAACCACCCTGCATTTCATGCTCTGGTTTCATTGCCCACGAACAGCATCTGTTAAGTGCTTGCTCCCCCAGTAAGCAGCTGCCCCTCCTGGGGGCTTTTCCAGGCCCTTGTCTCCAGGCCCATGTCAGAAGCCCCAGAATGGGCTCCCACAGACTCCCCCAACCTGGCCCCCTGCCTTCTGGCCCAGCACATACTGTGTAAGATTGAAAACTGTCTGTGTATGTATTGTTTGCCCCATTATCCTGGAAACTTCTAGAGAGAAGAGGCTCCTGATTTAGCTGCTGATCCCTGGATGAGCTCACACGCACAGCATGTCTGGCAATAGTTTGGAGCGTTTCAGTGGATCTCAGGCCTCCTTCAATTCACCACTTTGGGAACAGATTTCAGAATTCCTGGATTCACCATATCTCTATCTGTAGAACCAGAATTCCTTCCTCACTTAGTTTTATTTTCAAACCCTGTGACTTCATTTGCCTATATCAGGGCATCTCAATCCCATCTTAGAAAACGCTGCAGGGCATCCTTAAATATCTCAGGCAGTATAGCAGTGTTCTTATTAAAACCCCTCACAATATGGAATTTATTTTAATTCACCTCAGTTCATATTATGTATTTAAAAATATCTCACATAAACCACATGGCACTTTAGAAGGTAACTAAGAGGTTGCTGGGACATCAAATAAATGTCAGGATTTGATAACTTCTGCAAGACCCTGAATTTCCAGTTCAGAGAAGGGTACACTAATCAGATGCCTTATTTCCAAAACCCCAGCATCCAGCAAAATGGAATTCATTGGGAATGGATCAGTCAGTTGACACTGGGCTCCCTTAAGCAACTTTCCCAACAGCTTGGCATCCTGGACCTTGTCATGTTATCTGATGTTCCACCACTGAGAGGTTCCCCGAGGTTAATGAATCTTTCTTTTAAAGAGCGTATGTCTATACTTCTGTGTAGGTAAAAGGGGGCAGCAATCGTTCTCATCTCAAAGTAAATGGATTCCTCCTGGAATGCTTCCCAGTAACACCCTCTGCGGTCAGCCCCACTGGGGGCCTGGGAGCTACAGTGGTACCCGGAGAGGGTGGGAAAGATGTGGGGAACAAAGAGAGAGAAGGGAACAGGTTATGGAACATTCAGCCCTAGACAAGGTGAGGCAGGATGCACACACGACGGATTTTGGAGGGAGAAAAGGAGACTGAGGTCCCCAGAGCACTCAGGATGTGGGTGGGGCAGAAAAAAAGCCAAAGGAGTTGCTGGGGCCCAGGCAGGAAGGCCATAGAGTGAGCATCCTTTTGCCTGCTTCCTTAAGCAGACCCATTCTGCACTCTCCTTCCCTGCCTGTGGGCACTCTCCTTCTTGATCATTTAAAATCACCTTTAAAAACTCACACCCCACACTTCAAGTCTCACTGAAGGCCAACTCCAAGCTCGCGGCACAGACTACTTCTTCAGTGGAACAGCCACCAGAGAAGTGAGTGCCGCCTCCACAGTCTCAGCTCGGCAAATGTCGGAAACAGACACTTCACAGCTTTTGATTCAAATGAGACACTTCATTTGTCATTGACAAGTGTGACACAGTGGTCCTTGTGATCACAAGTCATGAGGCTCTGGCGTGAGTCATAGATTTTTGCACTTCAGACAAGAGCATGCATTGCTCACAGTGCAGTGTCACTGCCTACTTCAAAGGCCTCAGGTCCCTTTTCGCAACCTGAGCCACCAAAAGCAATGCTGCACCATCATCCAAAGGAGCCAGCAGAGTACCAAAGAGGAGACACAGAGCATTTATGACACACAGATGTGCTAACAAAGATGATAAACTGAGCCTGGGATCAAGAGAACCAGCTACCCATGAGCTCAATGCAGAGCAGATGGATAAGGTGAGTGTTGGCAGGTCCACTGATCCTGTGGGGTCCCAGCTGGGAGTGTGGCCCTCCCCACCTCCAACTGGTCTGTAAGGTGGCAGTTTCCATCCTGACTTTAAGATGCTCTTTGTCTCCTTGAGCTAATTCTTCCAAAAATCATCAAGTGACCAGAACCCTGAGGTGCCTACCCTCTGCCATCATCACTGGAGCACAACACCCACCCCTGCAAAGGGGTGACCGGGGTGACATGCCAGATGCGTGCTTACCTGGTCCAGCTTCCAGTGGAACTCGGCTGGGCGGAAGGTGTCTGCCTGGTCGAAGTCCTTCCTCAAGAGGAAGACCAGGCGGCAGTTGTGCACATACAGGGCGTAGTGATGCCGGTTCATTTCTGGAAACAGGAAGGGGGTTTGGGGGTGAGAGAATCCCTGTGTCAGTGTCAGTCTCAGCAAAAGAGTATTCCCACTACATCACTTAGCACACCTCAAAGGACACTGGCATTCCAGCCCCTCTTTTACCATTGGTTCTGAGGAATGTTTTAGAACATACATGGTGGAGCTCACTGAAATGCAAGAAGATTCAAGAAAGCCCAGAGCAAAACTTCTGCTGAGATACCATTTGGGCTTTAAATACCAACCTAACCCATGCTCAAATGCTGTGTCAGACCCCAGATAAAAATTATTTAGGTTAACAGGCTTTTATTTGTTTGTTTATTTTGATACAAATGCTTCTGGGAGAGTTCAGGGAGCTCTCTGACAATCACATCATTCACTCTGGGATCCTATAACATAGTTGGTTTCTCCTTAAGTTCCGGGCTTTTATTTTATCAGGCTTGACAAGGGGGACCACAGAGCATATTTCCTTCTCAGATCTCTGTGCAGTGAGGGGGAGTTTCTGCACTTTTAGTTGCTGGTAGGAGGGGACAGATTGATTTTCCAACATTACATGGAGTTCTCACTTTCTGAACCTCTCTCTTCCATGCACAGACAATGGATGGGACTTTTCCCATTTGTGATATAGAAATTTCCTTTCCTACTTAGGAAATTTCATGTCCTGGATCCCAGCCATGACATCCTGTAGCTGCCAGATAACACCCATTAGGTGGGGAGGAGGAGTCTTCTGACCAATACTCAGAGAACTCACATTTACGATATAGAAGCCCACACAGAAATCTTCCACAAGGCACATGCTCCCCCAACAATGATGGGTGAGTGAGCAGGTGACCAGGGGAAACAAGCTCAGAGAGATTAGCAGCTCATCAAAGGTCACACCTTAGGAACTTTGTCCATCGGCAGAGTCTGAGCTGTCAGTCATTCTTCTATACTGTCTTCTCGTTGCTGTGGTTATTTATTTTGGGTAATTTAACAAAAGTAGCATTTGAAATAGGAAATTATGAAATTACAGTTTAAGATGGAGTTGCAAACTTTACATAAGATATCAGAGTGTGTGTGTGTGTGTGTGTGTGTGTGTGTTGCAAGTGGGGTGTAACAACAAGCACAGGATTGGAATTAGCTAGCTCTAAGCTCACATTCCAGTTCTGATAGTTACTGGGACAAGTTACTTAACCTGCCAGGGATGTTTCCTTATCTTTAAAATGGGAACCACCACAATGCTTTTATGAAATTGTTGCTGGGGATGTGAGACACTGGGTAGAAGAGTTACAGTTAACACAGATTGCACTCCTATATGCCAGGTACTGTTCTAAAGCACTATATATACACTAAGTCATTTAACCCTCACAAAACCTTACAAGGTAGATAATACTATAATGCCCATTTTATAGACAGGAAAGTGAGGCACAGAGGGGTTAAACAGCTTAGGCCACATAGCCAATAAGCGGTGGGGAGCTTTGAACCACCAAGCTGTGAGGTGCCTCGCACAGGGGCATGTTGAAAATGCCTAACACATGTTAACCATCACTGTTACGATGGCACTGATATTCAAACTGCTCATTTAAACCTGCAGGGCCCTTTCATTGAAGATAAACTTTTAAAAGTCTTACTACACAACAGTGGGCAAAAGTAGGTTTACAGTTGTGAGTACATGAAACAGTTAAAGAAGAAGCTATTGTTATAATCACAACCTACGTGTCTTTTTTCATACAAATCACTGTAAACCTACTTTTGTCCACCCTCGTATATAATGTAATGAAGGTGGAGTTGCTTTGTTTGAAGTAAGGGTGCACCTCCACCCATTTCACGAATAGCAGCCCCGAGTTACTCCTGGGAGGCTGGGGTTCTGAAGCACCCAGTTGAAAACCACCAATCCTAGAGCCGGCCTCTGCATTCTGTGTCTGCCCGTCCACTTTTCCCCTCTCCCTGGTCCTGCTCTGCCTGAGCCCAGGAATCCGCAGCCAGAAAACCAGAGACCAGAATCTTTTCGCAGGGCCCCTCTCACAGCGTCGGTGGCTGTGCCTCTGCCTAACCTGCTGGGACATCACAGGCAGCCGCCGAAGGGCCGGGCTGGAGACTCACCGGTTTTATCTGAGTTGCAGAGGACGGTTTCCTTCTCGGCCCTCACGCCCGGGCTGGGGCCGTGTTTCATCCACATGGTGATGGTGAACTGGTCCGTCAAGTTCTTGGGCACGATCCCATCAGGGATCTTGGCACCCTGTCTGCCGTCAAACTTGAAGATCATCTCACTGCTGTCCACCAGCAGCCCCGCGGTCCAGTTGGTGGCAGTGCTGGGGGACGGCAAGAGGTCGATGATGCCAGAGGAGGCTCCTGCAGGGACAGGCAACGGAAACACACAGGGTCATTCCTCAGGGGCTGCGTGGCCTCGCCTGCTGTTTTCTACTCCTAGGTCAGGATAAACTACAGGTGACCCTTAAAGGACACCGATTTGAGCTGCATGGGTCCACTTTTATATGGATTTTTTTTTCAATAAATGCTGTAAATGTATCTTCTCTTCCTTAAGGTTTTCTTAATAACATTTTCTTTTCGCTAGCTTACTTTATTGTAAGAATACAATATTAATACATATAATGTATAAATTATGTGTTAATCAGCTGTTTATATTATTGGTAAGGCTTCCAGTCATCCGTAGTTAGGTTTTTGGGGAGTCAAAAGTTACACACGAATTTTTGAGTGCACTGGGGGTCAGCACCCCTAACCCCCACATTGTTCAAGGGTCAGCAGTACTCAGTGTACTTACTCAGAGGTCTGTCCCAGCCCTGAGCAAGGTGACTTGGAAAAATAAGGGCCAAATACCGTTCCTGTTCCTGCAATGCTACGGTCGGCTTGGGAGGCATCAGTAGTTACACAGAGAAGTGTTGCATGTGGCAAGACAAAGTGCAATAAGCTATAATGCAAAGAAAATGTGCTGGAGGAATTTAGGGAAATGGGGTCACCCTGGGGACTTCCATTAGCAGGCAAGGTTCCTGGGGAAAGCCAGGGTTTGACTGGGATCAATGGATTCATTCATGCACTCATCCATCCATTAACCTGTCGGCCATTCTCTGAGCACGGACAAGATGCCAAGCCTCCTGGCAGGTGCTGGTGATGTAAAGGAGAATCAGCACCGTCCCTGACCTAGAGGAGCCCAGGACCAACAAGTCAACAGGCAACTGTGACACAGTGTGATCAGGGCTGTGATGAAGGAAAGTTCTAGGTCCTGATCCCATGAGGAGTGGAAGCCACTTTGTACTCACCACACTTTCTTCCCCCTTTTAACAACCATTTGTTTAGGCCAAATGGTACAGAGGTTGAGTCCTGAAGCAGGCCGAACTTGAATTTGACACCTGGCAGCATGACTTGTAGCCTTGTCACTGTGTGCAAGTCACTTAACCTTTCTGACGTTCCACCTCCTTTTATAGCATCTCCCTTCCCACAGTGCTGTGAGGACTGAACAAGAAACGCAGCAGCATGCTCACCATGAGGGGAACGTTCGCTCCACGGTAGCTATAACAGTGTTATTATTATCACTATTTCTCTTACCACTGCGAGTCCAGCCTAATGCTTGGGGACTTCACCTGGATCAGTAGGAGCGTCATGGGCAGATTTGTTTCTTAGGAGAATCACACGTGCAACTTTGTGGAGGGTGGAGCTGAGGTGAGTGGGAAGGGCTGGCCCTGCAGAGAAGACCGGATGCCCCCGCTGGGAGCATCCTTGGGCCTCCACTGACTTGCCACTGAATTCTAGTGCTGCCACATGGTTATGTTCTCCACATCCTTACCTTCCACACGGAGCAAAGCTCAGCTACTCAGGGAAGGAGAGGGCTAGGGGTTTCCCAATACTGTCAGGAAATAAGAGCCAGGGAGTCTAAGGTGAGCTCGGTGCTGGGGCCACGGGTGTGGGGCTGTCTCCTGGCTCAGGACTGACCAGGCAGTTGTGAATGCTGATGGGTTTAATGGACAGTATTTGGGTGTATTACCCGCCATTTGTCAGGGATCACTGGCCTTCTGAATTCTGTATATCAGAGCCTCATCTCAGCTAGGGGTCAGATTCCAAAGCCCGCCACCACAAACATCTCCTACAGTTAAAATGGCCCTTGAAAGTCCCCCAGGAAAGTGCAGTATTGGAAACCAATACGCCTCTTTGAAAATGTTCAACTCAACCAGTTTTGCCCCCAGCCCTGGAACAGATCAGCAGGTCTAAGGCTGAGCACCCCTTGGCTTGCAATGGAAGGTTATGCTCTGTGAAAAATATGCTCTGTTTAGCACTGTGAGGAGGGCCTCACCTCGGAGAGGTCTCTAGGAACTGCAGGATCTGAGAGAGTGGAAGGGTTTGGTCTCCCAGTTCATGATCACCTTGTAGCTAATGAATATCAAGGGAAAATGTGGGCAGAATTGACTGCATTACTTACGTGCATATTTCCAACAGTTTTTGGTTGGTACCCTGTCGGATACACACCAGACACTCTACTAATGTGTATAACTGCCTTTTCTCCTATCTAGTGCCAGGCCTGAATTAAGAACTTCAATGCTTTTTCTTAGTCACTCAGCTATGTGGTGAATACTATTATGGTTCCAGTTTGCAGATAAGAAACCTGAAGCTCAGTGAGCCCAGGATCACAACCAGCTAGGGAGTGGGCCCATCATTAGGACTTTCCAGTTTTTTCCTCTCCCCTGAGACCTCCTCACTGCATCACCCCAATGAACCTGGAGGGAAATCTTGGAACCTCCTGCACATTTTACAAACTGAGGTCCCGGGAGGGGAAAGAACCAAGATCACACAGCCACACAGCTGGTTAGCGCAGGCTCAGCTCTCAGTCTCCTAGCTAATGTTCTTTCTACCACACAGTAGAGTGTCCTGCCAAGCACAGCCCAGTCCGGGGACCCGGCTAGAGGCTGCTGTCTACAGAAAGGCAGGTTGAAGACAGCATGTGACCTCGCAAAGCCATCAAAGCAAAGCCCCCTTGTTTTCCCTGGTGAGGGGAGCAGCCGGCCACCCTGCAGCATCCACAGATGTTGCCACAGGGAAGCATCAAGCTGCATTTAACCAGATGGTTCAGATTTCCATGAACTCAACAGCTTGTATTTCATTTCTCAGTGCGTTTAAACAAATAGAGAGATTTGCCTTCTCCAAAAGTTGTCCTCTCTCTTCTCCCCAAGGGATTCCATGGAGAGCAGTGAGTAAACAGATACATCACTTGCAAAGATGGTGTGGCATTGTCTCCACATTAGGGTGTAGTTAAGATGCTCCTTGGGACTTCTTCACAAAGTCTCTGAGACCCAGCTGAGAGGTCACACTGGCCTGGGGCACAGCAGCTGCAGCTGGAATGTGGTGGTGGTGGGATGGGATTGGGGTGGGAACCAGAGGTGAGGTCTGGTTCAAGGTCCCTAAGCCCTCTCAGGGTGGGGAAGCCTCTCTGAGCCAGCCAGTAGGTAAAGATGGGGATGAATGAGGGTACACTGTGGTGTGAGAACCCAAATGAGCCTGGGGGCAGTTGTCACTGTCTGGACTTCTTAATTGAAGGGTTTGCATTCTGCTCTGGATGGTCTTGGTGACGGGGAAGTGTTCTTAGCACTTCCAGGTGGGACTGTGCCAATGGTGATTGACATGATTCCTCATGGCCCACCACATCATGGGAAGGGATGGGGCAAGCAAGAAGGTCTCAGGGGAGAATAACCATTGTCAAGGACAGAGGCCTCGTCCTACAGAGTATTCTCACAACTGGCAGTATCATCTCCATATTATTTCAATAAACATTTGTGCAATATCTAAGTTATTCCAGCACTGCAGTGAGAATGCAGCAATAAACTAGACAGAAATGGACCCTACCTTTAGGGACCCAGGAGAAAGTCTTTCATTTTTGGTGGGTGGAGCAGTCTAGTGGTAGAGAGTCTCAGAGGAAGCAGGGAGGCTCTCTTCACAAACATCCTATTAGTAATAGAGTGCATTCTGTCCTCAACATGCTTCTCTGAGCCCTGCAGTCCAGCAAGGTGGCAGTTTCCATCCTGACTTTAAGATGCTCTTTGTCTCCTTGAGCTAATTCCTCCAAAAATCAGCTGATATCACTTGGTCATGTGACCTGCTCTGACCAATGAAATGTGAATGCAAGTGACATGTATCATATCAAGGCAGAAGCTTTGAGAGCCAGTCCATGGTTCACCATGTGTGTCTTCTATGTGCCATGAGAGAAACAATGTTCTAGTAAAGGCTGTTCTTTTAGCCTGATCCCAGTGGGAAGTCAACATGGAACAGAGCCATGGTCAACCCAAGAAAGACAAGTGGGAAGAATGATAAATAGACCTTTGTTATTTTAAGCCAATGAGATTTTGGGGGGTTATCTGTTACTACAGCATAACCTGCTACCCGGACCCATGATCCAAGTAAGTGACTGACATTAGCAGCTGTAATTCCTATTTCTCCATCTGCACACCTCCAGCATGGACATGGAGGAATTTCTGATGTCCTTTCAGGAGCTCAAACCCTATTGTTTCTATAATCAGACTATCATTCTACCTCAGGACTCCTCGACAAGAGGGTTCCTCCAACGCCTTAAAATCAGAAACTTGAATCTCGGGTAAAGCAAGCTGGGTTTTGGATGAGGGCTGGTCAGCCAGGTTCCTGGGGCAGGACTGTAGATACCTAGTAGCTGACCAGCCTGGGCAAGGTCACTGTAGGCCAAAACTTTCTCCCCAGGGCAGTAGGGCATGCCGTATGGCCACTGAATAAAAAAATAACTCAAAGAAATAGGCATACCCGGAGAGGAGCTCACTGCTCACTGTCACCCATGAGTCAGTGTGTGCAGCTTTTTGCTGGTGTATGATTAATGATTTAATCTGATTCCCAACAGGCATGCACCAATTTTCTTCAGAGTAAGAGGCCCATGTCAGCTCTCTGGGAATGGAAGCACTGGCTATGACTAGGGGACTAATACTAGTCCCCTGAAGCTCCAGCTCTTTAGGAGTCTGCTGGAGAAACTGACCATAGCTTCCTGTCGTTGGGCTATTCTGAGGGTATAAAACCTCCATCCGTGATCCTTGGTGAGGACAGCTCTGTCAGGCTGCACAGTGTAGCAAAAACCAAGGACTTAAACTTTTTCGATGTGTCTGTCTTCCCCTGGAGACTGAACTGTTAAGTGGTCTTACCTTCTGTAGAGTCTCAAGAGACACAGCATTCTGACACTCCACAAATATTTGTTAAATTAATAAATACTTGAATGAATGAATCTCTATGAAAATCTCCTGGCTCACAAGTGTATAAATTCTGAGGACAACTTAATGTCTAGTGATCTGAGCTGCTCTGACAGATCCATCACTTGATTTAATAGCATGCTCTTATTCTGTGGCCTTTCCTTCAACAAGACCTGTCCTCGCGGTTCATGACTCCACATACCAAACAGCTGATGGGGTGACCTATGCCAGAGGGGCAGCTAGCTGCCGGCAGCCTGTGGTCCTGAGGAGGAGCAGCCTCTGGTCTGGGGCTATGAAGGCATTTGCGTCACAACTACTTTTCTGTTTTCTGTAATATGTAGTGACTTAAGGTCATCGAAGCAGGCCTTTTCTTGGGCTGCTGTTAATGGCAAATTTAATTTGGCTAAGAGGTCTGACCGAGGGTCTCACCATGCATTTCATACCCAAGGCAGCTCTGTGACACGTCACCTCTGGAAAGCCAGGTACTGAGACGGCAGAGACCTTCATCTTAAATTTCTGAATTAAGAGGAAAGAATAAGCAGTTTGCCCAACTTCTCCAAGACGCCTGGCTTTATGTAAAGCAAGGGCAGAAGGGGGTCCTTCTTTGGCTATGTCTAGCCCCAGGAGCTGAAGGGGACATGCATTCAGGGCCCTGATTGGTTTTATTCCAAGGCCGAGTGGAAGTGTCTCAGTGTACACACCTCAGGCAGCAGTGTGCCTGCCGTCCAGCAAGTCAGTGGAATCAGAGGCCATTTCAAGTGCTGCTGCACCTGTCAGGTGCTTCCCGACAGCAGAATTTGTGCCAGTTATTGCCCGACCCCCCCTTGAATGGGAGTCTACCGCTGCTCCTCATGGAGCTAATGCTTCAGGGGGAGCAAGCAGGTGGCATTGACCAGACATGCACAAGCCCCTGGGAGGAGACACCCCTGCCTGGGTCGCTGCACGGCTCCAGCATCACAGAAGAGATGCAGGCATTCAAAGGCACCCAGGAAGCACCCCAGGGCTGCAGCCCAGTGAGCACCGAGGGCAGGAGGACACTGGCTAACGGGAAGGGTTTAGAATGATGAGGGGGGAGAGCATCCTCGCAGGAAGAAACACGGACGAAGGCTTAAGGGTGGGCACAAGCCAGGCGTGGGGATAAGGGCGGTCTTCTGGCCGAAAGAGGCAGAACATCGGGAGGAAATGGGCTATGACGACGGATGGGCAGGGCGGAGGCAGGTCTGCAGGAGGGTCCGGGGTAAGGCTAGAGCTGGGCATGTGCACCTGGGTGCTCCGCAGGTGACTGTGATCGTTGCCCCCGAGCCTGGCGCTCGCCCTGGATTCCTCGCTCTCACAGGAGGCATCCTCGCCCAGCTAGGTGCTCATCCCGGAGCCAGCTGAGGTTCCTTCTGCCTCACTCCTGACAGCTAATGAATCATTACATCTTGCCAACTTTGCGTCCTAACTCTGTCTTAAATTCATCCCCACTGCCACTCCCCTGGGTCAGAACTCATTATTTCTTCCTTAGACTATGGCGATAACATCCTAATTGGTCTCCCTGTTTCCACCCAAAGTCAATAAAGATTTGTAGAATAAAAAATGCATGAACGCTGAGGCTTAAGTTGTCATGGCAGTTCCCTGGTTGAGAAACCCCGCAAGAAATTTGCCTACCGGCCACTGAAAACACACAGAGGCTTGCCTGCAGAACCTCGGATCCCCCAGGAGGGAGGCATTACCCCGAGGCTCCGGGTGCGAGGAGGTGCGGCCCCACACCAGCTGCGCATCTGAGTCACTCTCAGTGGCTTCTGCCCTTTTTCCCTGAGCTCTGCCTCAGTGGAGTTCAAGATTCAGACCCGGAATATTCAGACTCGGAGGCTGGGGTGGCCCTGCCCATCAGGGCTCCTCAGGCAGAGTTCCCATCAGTGCGGAGGGTGGCACTATGGGGAAGGTCACCAGAAAGGCACGCAGATGTCTCTCGACAAAGAGTCTCTCCGAGCACCAGGTAATCTTGCCTGCACCTTGGGGGAAACTGCTTTCCTGACTGAATTAACCTGCCCTCCTGCAAGGCGAGCTGGCAGCCCAGAGGAATGAGCCATGTTAACACCAGATGCAATTTTGTTCTAAAGTTTCTTCCCGCAGAAAATCCTTCTCACTCTCCATATCTCCTCATTTCTCCCAGCAACATTCAAAATCAAATCACAAGTGTGTGCCCTTGGGCCCATCTGATCTTTAACAAGCTGATTCCATCATCTCCTGGCAACCTGGAGGAGTTTAGAAAATGGCTGTAACCCACAGGGTGGTGTGGGGTCTAGTGGACTCATAATTTAGGAGTATGGGAAGCGAAATGGGATATTCATTCAAGTAAGATGTCGTGTGGGATGGCTTCTCTCACACAGAGTGGGGGAGAGGGCTGGAGGCAGTTTTCTGAATATTGCGGGCCCCTTCTATCCATTTTTGCAAGAGCTGTTTGGGATGTTGGCGGTGTGGTGATTTCCCTGCTCAGCTGCATCATTCTGGAGAAGTCTGCGTTCCCACAGGCCTTCCTTGCTGGCCCGGTGACATAATGAATGGAACATGGTGACACCCAAGCAGGGTCTATTTCACATTCAGTTCTAAAAGTTTCACTTTGTTCTTTGGGCAGCCAGCAGTGTGGATGAAGGTGTGTGGGGGGTACAATGTTGAGGGGGGGAAATTTCCAAAGACGGTGGCGGAGGGACCACCAGGAGGGGACGGCAGGCTAGACTGTGTGTTCAGGAGCCCCTTTCCCTTTTGGAAATGTAGTTACCCCCAAACACAGGCCCAGTGCAAGACTAAGTTCCCCACAGCACTGCTGCAGTCAAGCATGAGTTCCTGAGTATTTCTGAAGAGAGCAAAGAAGAAATAAAATATATTCCATGGGGATGAAGGAGGCCCATCCACACAGCTGCGGTCACATTTACCACGTCTATGGGACCATTGTCACCATGCTGAGCGCCCTCCCATTCTACAGGCTGACGTGACCGATTCACATTCTAGCTCCCAAGGCCTGGCCTGGCATCACAGATTCCAAGCTAAAGAGACTTTCCTTCTGATAGACCCATCTTCGAGTTCTGGCTCGGTCACTTTCTTTCTGTGCGACCTTGAACAAGTCCTGTTCCTTCTAAGCTTCCAATGTTTCATCTTTAAAGCTGGATGAATAACACCCTTCCCACAGTGAAGTGGAGAGGATTAAATAAAGTAATGATGTGAAAATCTGGCAGGCTGCACTAAGTAGGTGCTCAATAAAGCTAAGTTTCCTCATGCAGCACCCCCACTTGGACACCTTCACTTT